ACCTTAGGCCCATTGTGTTGTTCTCCTCCACGGAAATCTTTAGTAAAAGGCGAAAGATTTTTTCGTGTAAATGAAGGAGAACCAAGGCTTGGAAACTTCGTGCTTGTCAGTGCTGTATAAACGAAATAGTCTCGCTTTTGGAACACGGTAGTCACGGAAGTGCGCGCAATGTTATCAAATGTGACGAATATAATTGTTTTTATAATTAGCAGTTGCTAATCAATTGTGGGATGTCGTTTGATATTTTGGCGTGATCAATAGCCTTCTGATAGGAAAAGGAGCATTGGGAATCCGGATTACGCCAGCTGTTGATCTCGTACACTTTTGATAAACACCCGCCAGGAAAATCCGGCGGGCGACAAAAATTACCTCTAGGCCCATTGTGTTGTTCTCTCCACGGAAATCTTTAGTAAAAGGCGAAAGATTTTTTCGTGTAAATGAAGGAGAACCAAGGCTTGGAAACTTCGGTGCTTGTCAGTGCTGTATAAACGAAATAGTTTCGCTTTTGGAATAATAATAATAATAATAATAAAAGTATTTCTATAGCGCACAACCAAATTGTGTTCTGTTCTAGGCGCTTTACAGTAAAATCTAATATTAAAACTATTAAAATCTAAATCATTAAGAAACCTAATAATATAAATGTTAAGACCAACGTCATACATTATTCAAAAATAAGTTAAAAAGATATGTTTTAAGATTTTTTTTAAAAACAGTAATTGATTTGCACGTCCGAAGATTAATGGGTAATTCGTTCCACAATCGTGGTCCCGCGACACAAAATGATCTATCCCCAAATGTCTTCAGTCTAGAACAGGGAATCTGGAGCAATTCACAGTTATTTGATCGAAGTGAACGCTGCGAAGTATAAAAATGCAAGAGTTCCTTCAAATACGGTGGAGCAAGGTCGTTCATAGCCTTATACACATGAAGGATAATTTTGAATTGGACACGATATTGGACTGGTAGCCAATGCAATTCAATAAGTACTGGTGTAATATGTTCCGATTTCCTAGTACCAGTTAATAGACGTGCTGCAGTATTTTGGACTCTCTGTAGCCTCTGGAGTAAATATTTTGATACACCATATAGCAGTGAGTTACAGTAATCCAATCTTGAAGTTATAAAAGCATGAATGATTATTTCAAGACAGTCCCGAGACAAATACTTCTTTATTCTTGAAATGTTTCTGATATTATAAAAAGATGACTTGCAGATACCATTAATATGTTCGTCCAATTTAAAGAACTCATCAAAAATAACCCCCAAATTTCTAGCTGAACCAGTTGGTACAATTCTGTCATCACCCACCATGATATAATTCAAGGGAAGCATAGGGCGATAGCGTGAATGGACTAATATAAGTTCCGTTTTTTCACTATTTAGTTTCAATTTATTCAGCATCAACCAGTTTCTAATTTCAAATATACATTTTTCCATACGAATCTTAGATGAAATCAATTCACCAGGGTCATTTGTTTTGAATGCAATGTAAAGTTGTCCATCATCAGCAAAAAAGTGAAAACGGAGATCATGACGCCTAGCCACATCTGCAAGCGGGGCAGTGTACAATGAATATAACAGCGGACCTAATACCGATCCCTGCGGTACAACACATTCAAGATCACACCATAGCGAATCTGTTCCCTCAACACGAACAAATTGTTTCCTAGATATAAGATATGAAGTAAACCAATCCAAAACACGACCCTTTATACCAAATCGCTTCCATAATCGTGTCAATAAGATCGAATGATCTACGGTGTCAAACGCTGCTGACAGATCCAGTAGAACGAGAATGACAGAGTTTCCATTGTCGAGGTCTTGGAGAATATCGCTTTGAACCCTTAATAATGCTGTTTCTGTACTATGACGAGGCTTATAGGCAGACTGGAACTTCTCATGTAGTTTATTCTCGTCAAGATAATTCATTAATTGTACAGCACACGGTAGTCACGGAAGTGCGCGCGCAATGTTATCAAATGTGACGAACATAATTGTTTTTGTAATTAGCAGTTGCTCAATCAATTGTGGGATGTCGTTTGATATTTTGTCGTGATCAATAGCCTTCTGCTAGGAAAAGGAGCATTGGGAATCCGGATTACGCCAGCTGTTGATCTCGTACACTTTTGATAAACACCCGCCAGGAAAATCCGACGGGTGACAAAAAATACCCTTAGGCCCATTGTGTTGTTCTCTTCCACGGAAATCTTTAGTAAAAGGCGAAAGATTTTTTCGTGTAAATGAAGGAGAACCAAGGCTTGGAAACTTTGGTGCTTGTCAGTGCTGTATAAACGAAATAGTTTCGCTTTTGGAACACGGTAGTCACGGAAGTGAGCGCGCAATGTTATCAAATGTGACGAACATAATTTTTTTTATAATTAGCAGTTGCTCAATCAATTGTGGGATGTCGTTTGATATTTTGTCGTGATCAATAGCCTTCTGCTAGGAAAAGGAGCATTGGGAATCCGGATTACGCCAGCTGTTGATCTCGTACACTTTTGATAAACACCCGCCAGGAAAATCCGAAGGGTGACAAAAAATACCCTTAGGCCCATTGTGTTGTTCTCCTCCACGGAAATCTTTAGTAAAAGGCGAAAGATTTTTTCGTGTAAATGAAGGAGAACCAAGGCTTGGAAACTTTGGTGCTTGTCAGTGCTGTAAAAACGAAATAGTTTCGCTTTTGGAACCAGTGAACTGAAATAAAACTGGAACGCTCACTCTGCCGGAAGTTTGAAGCCAAGATGGCGGATCATGAAGCCTTTCTTGTAGGTATGATCCAGGCCTCCACGCGGAAATTTTGTCGGGAATTCTGATTTTTCCTTTGAAGTTTCCGCGCCAGAGGCCTGGATCATACCTACAAGAAAGGCGTCATGATCCGCCATCTTGGCTTCACTCATCAATGAGGGAAAGTCATAGAGTGAGCGTTCCAGTTTTATTTGAGTTCACTGTTTGGAACACGGTAGTCACGGAAGTGCGCGCGCAATGTTATCAAATGTGACGAACATAATTGTTTTTATAATTAGCAGTTGCTCAATCAATTGTGGGATGTCGTTTGATATTTTGTCGTGATCAATAGCCTTCTGCTAGGAAAAGGAGCATTGGGAATCCGGATTACGCCAGCTGTTGATCTCGTACACTTTTGATAAACACCCGCCAGGAAAATCCGACGGGCGACAAAAAATACCCTTAGGCCCATTGTGTTGCTCTCCTCCACGGAAATCTTTAGTAAGAGGCGAAAGATTTTTTCGTGTAAATGAAGGAGAACCAAGGCTTGGAAACTTCGGTGCTTGTCAGTGCTGTATAAACGAAACAGTTTCGCTTTTGGAACACGGTAGTCACGGAAGTGCGCGCGCAATGTTATCAAATGTGACGAACATAATTGTTTTTATAATTAGCAGTTGCTCAATCAATTGTGGGATGTCGTTTGATATTTTGTGATCAATAGCCTTCTGCTAGGAAAAGGAGCATTGGGAATCCGGATTACGCCAGCTGTTGATCTCGTACACTTTTGATAAACACCCGTCAGGAAAATCCGACGGGCGACAAAAAATACCCTTAGGCCCATTGTGTTGTTCTCCTCCACGGAAATCTTTAGTAAAAGGCGAAAGATTTTTTCGTGTAAATGAAGGAGAACCAAAACTTCGAAACTTCGGTGCTTGTCAGTGCTGTATAAACGAAACAGTTTCGCTTTTGGGACACGGTAGTCACGGAAGTGCGCGCGCAATGTTATCAAATGTGACGAACATAATTGTTTTTATAATTAGCAGTTGCTCAATCAATTGTGGGATGTCGTTTGATATTTTGTCGTGATCAATAGCCTTCTGCTAGGAAAAGGAGCATTGGGAATCCGGATTACGCCAGCTGTTGATCTCGTACACTTTTGATAAACACCCGCCAGGAAAATCCGACGGGTGACAAAAAATACCCTTAGGCCCATTGTGTTGTTCTCCTCCACGGAAATCTTTAGTAAAAGGCGAAAGATTTTTTCGTGTAAATGAAGGAGAACCAAGGCTTGGAAACTTTGGTGCTTGTCAGTGCTGTATAAACGAAATAGTTTCGCTTTTGGAACACGGTAGTCACGGAAGTGCGCGCGCAATGTTATCAAATGTGACGAACATAATTTTTTTTATAATTAGCAGTTGCTCAATCAATTGTGGGATGTCGTTTGATATTTTGTCGTGATCAATAGCCTTCTGCTAGGAAAAGGAGCATTGGGAATCCGGATTACGCCAGCTGTTGATCTCGTACACTTTTGATAAACACCCGCCAGGAAAATCCGACGGGCGACAAAAAATACCCTTAGGCCCATTGTGTTGTTCTCCTCCACGGAAATCTTTAGTAAAAGGCGAAAGATTTTTTCGTGTGAATGAAGGAGAACCAAGGCTTCGAAACTTCGGTGCTTGTCAGTGCTGTATAAACGAAACAGTTTCGCTTTTGGGACACGGTAGTCACGGAAGTGCGCGCGCAATGTTATCAAATGTGACGAACATAATTTTTTTAATTAGCAGTTGCTCAATCAATTGTGGGATGTCGTTTGATATTTTGTCGTGATCAATAGCCTTCTAGGAAAAGGAGCATTGGGAATCCGGATTACGCCAGCTGTTGATCTCGTACACTTTTGATAAACACCCGCCAGGAAAATCCGACGGGTGACAAAAATACCCTTAGGCCCATTGTGTTGTTCTCCTCCACGGAAATCTTTAGTAAAAGGCGAAAGATTTTTTCGTGTAAATGAAGGAGAACCAAGGCTTGGAAACTTTGGTGCTTGTCAGTGCTGTATAAACGAAAGAGTTTCGCTTTTGGAACACGGTAGTCACGGAAGTGCGCGCGCAATGTTATCAAATGTGACGAACATAATTTTTTTATAATTAGCAGTTGCTCAATCAATTGTGGGATGTCGTTTGATATTTTGTCGTGATCAATAGCCTTCTGCTAGGAAAAGGAGCATTGGGAATCCGGATTACGCCAGCTGTTGATCTCGTACACTTTTGATAAACACCCGCCAGGAAAATCGACGGGCGACAAAAAATACCCTTAGGCCCATTGTGTTGTTCTCCTCCACGGAAATCTTTAATAAAAGGCGAAAGATTTTTTCGTGTAAAGAGGACCAAGGCTTGGAAACTTCGGTGCTTGTCAGTGCTGTATAAACGAAACAGTTTCGCTTTTGGGACACGGTAGTCACGGAAGTGCGCGCGCAATGTTATCAAATGTGACGAACATAATTGTTTTTGTAATTAGCAGTTGCTCAATCAATTGTGGGATGTCGTTTGATATTTTGTCGTGATCAATAGCCTTCTGCTAGGAAAAGGACATTGGAATCCGGATTACGGCGCATACGCCAGGTTGATCTCGTACACTTTTGATAAACACCCCCAGGAAAATCCGACGGGCGACAAAAAATACCCTTAGGCCCATTGTGTGTTCTCCTCCACGGAAATCTTTAGTAAAAGGCGAAAGATTTTTCGTGTGAAATGAAGGAGAACCAAGGCTTCGAAAACTTTCGGTGCTTGTCAGTGCTGTATAAACGAAATAGTTTCGCTTTTGGAACACGGTAGTCACGGAAGTGCGCGCGCAATGTTATCAAATGTGACGAAATAATTGTTTTTTAATTAGCAGTTGCTCAATCAATTGTGGGATGTCGTTTGATATTTTGTGATCAATAGCCTTCTGCTAGGAAAAGGAGCATTGGGAATCCGGATTACGCCAGCTGTTGATCTCGTACACTTTTGATAAACACCCGCCAGGAAAATCCGCGGGCGACAAAAAATACCCTTAGGCCCATTGTGTTGTTCTCCTCCACGGAAATCTTTAGTAAAAGGCGAAAGATTTTTTCGTGTAAATGAAGGAGAACCAAGGCTTGGAAACTTGGTGCTTGTCAGTGCTGTATAAACGAAATAGTTTCGCTTTTGGAACACGGTAGTCACGGAAGTGCGCGCGCAATGTTATCAATGTGACGAAATATTTTTTTTATAATTAGCAGTTGCTCAATCAATTGTGGGATGTCGTTTGATATTTTGGCGTGATCAATAGCCTTCTGCTAGGAAAAGGAGCATTGGGAATCCGGATTACGCCAGCTGTTGATCTCGTACACTTTTGATAAACACCCGCCAGGAAAATCCGGGCGACAAAAAATACCCTTAGGCCCATTGTGTTGTTCTCCTCCACGGAAATCTTTAGTAAAAGGCGAAAGATTTTTTCGTGTAAATGAAGGAGAACCAAGGCTTGGAAACTTCGGTGCTTGTCAGTGCTGTATAAACGAAATAGTTTCGCTTTTGGAACACGGTAGTCACGGAAGTGCGCGCGCAATGTTATCAAATGTGACGAAATAATTTTTTTTATAATTAGCAGTTGCTCAATCAATTGTGGGATGTCGTTTGATATTTTGGCGTGATCAATAGCCTTCTGCTAGGAAAAGGAGCATTGGGAATCCGGATTACGCCAGCTGTTGATCTCGTACACTTTTGATAAACACCCGCCAGGAAAATCCGGCGGGCGACAAAAAATACCCTTAGGCCCATTGTGTTGTTCTCCTCCACGGAAATCTTTAGTAAAAGGCGAAAGATTTTTTCGTGTAAATGAAGGAGAACCAAGGCTTGGAAACTTCGGTGCTTGTCAGTGCTGTATAAACGAAATAGTTTCGCTTTTGGAACACGGTAGTCACGGAAGTGCGCGCGCAATGTTATCAAATGTGACGAATAATTTTTTTTATAATTAGCAGTTGCTCAATCAATTGTGGGATGTCGTTTGATATTTTGGCGTGATCAATAGCCTTCTGCTAGGAAAAGGAGCATTGGGAATCCGGATTACGCCAGCTGTTGATCTCGTACACTTTTGATAAACACCCGCCAGGAAAATCCGGCGGGCGACAAAAAATACCCTTAGGCCCATTGTGTTGTTCTCCTCCACGGAAATCTTTAGTAAAAGGCGAAAGATTTTTTCGTGTAAATGAAGGAGAACCAAGGCTTGGAAACTTCGGTGCTTGTCAGTGCTGTATAAACGAAATAGTTTCGCTTTTGGAACACGGTAGTCACGGAAGTGCGCGCGCAATGTTATCAAATGTGACGAATAATTGTTTTTATAATTAGCAGTTGCTCAATCAATTGTGGGATGTCGTTTGATATTTTGCGTGATCAATAGCCTTCTGCTAGGAAAAGGAGCATTGGGAATCCGGATTACGCCAGCTGTTGATCTCGTACACTTTTGATAAACACCCGCCAGGAAAATCCGGCGGGCGACAAAAAATACCCTTAGGCCCATTGTGTTGTTCTCCTCCACGGAAATCTTTAGTAAAAGGCGAAAGATTTTTTCGTGTAAATGAAGGAGAACCAAGGCTTGGAAACTTCGGTGCTTGTCAGTGCTGTATAAACGAAATAGTTTCGCTTTTGGAACACGGTAGTCACGGAAGTGCGCGCGCAATGTTATCAATGTGACGAAATAATTGTTTTTTAATTAGCAGTTGCTCAATCAATTGTGGGATGTCGTTTGATATTTTGCGTGATCAATAGCCTTCTGCTAGGAAAAGGAGCATTGGGAATCCGGATTACGCCAGCTGTTGATCTCGTACACTTTTGATAAACACCCGCCAGGAAAATCCCGGGCGACAAAAAATACCCTTAGGCCCATTGTGTTGTTCTCCTCCACGGAAATCTTTAGTAAAAGGCGAAAGATTTTTTCGTGTAAATGAAGGAGAACCAAGGCTTGGAAACTTGGTGCTTGTCAGTGCTGTATAAACGAAATAGTTTCGCTTTTGGAACACGGTAGTCACGGAAGTGCGCGCGCAATGTTATCAAATGT